AAGTGTGTAACTAATCACAGTTATTAAGATGCATTGTAATCTTAACCAGTGATATACTTTGACTAGTATTTGTATTTGAGATTTACATCTACAAAAGTTAGCTAGGCTTTTGTTGTCATAACTAGTATTATCCCAATCTCACTCTATCGAGAATATATTATGTTATCAGATGTTAAATATTTTATATCAAATATACCAATTAATATATCATTTATTTTTTTAAGGCATATAATGACTTATGCATCATATTTATGTCATTGTCTCGGTAACAGCTTTAATCTATTCAAGGACTTATAAGCTTGCACATTTGACTCTTCAATTAGAACAAATAACTCAGCTTTTCAGCTGGAAAAATAATTCTTCTAGTTGTTCCATAATATTTTCCTCGTAGGAAATAATATGCACTATTGTTATAATACTATAAATGATTTTTGGTTTTATCCAAAATATCTTAGGATTAAGAACCACTATATTTATAAGTATTTCTTATCTGATGAGGTAACTTGTATCAAATTTCATCTATGGACAATATTCCCCCACAACTTTGGGATAATCCTGAAATTATTTATATATGATATATTTCTTATGGTTTTCCAATACATGAAATACCATATATTAAATATTTCATCCTGTCTACCTTTCCAAGGTTCTATATTTGCTTCTCAACAAGCATGTATAATAGTCTCTAGTGCATATATATTCACTTTATCTCTAACTTGTTCTTATAATATGTCACAGATGTTACTGTGAATTAATACTAGAGATATTAATTACAATGAGCTCTAATTAATATTTACTTCTACATCTTTTGTATTTATGAATTGAGTTATTCATGTTTAGGTTCATGTTAAGTTAGTCATATTAACATGTCATAACCTTTCATGTATCTCACATCACATAACTCAATCATTTAAGCAAATAACTCACTTATTGTTTAAGCTTTGGATACATCACCACATAGTGAGCACTCACTTTTCAACTATCATTACTAGTTAAAAGTGAGTTTTTAAGCTCTCATTACTAACTTAGATTAAGCACACTCTTCTCATTAATTACTACTAGTTTATAATGAGCACCCACTTGTCTGTTATTACCACTAACTTGAAGTTAAGTTTGCTCAGTTATCAATTCTAGTAGCTCTTAACTTTAGTACACATTTATCTAAGTAGTTTACCTTGGTAGCAGAGTAATTTGTTTTGAAGAATATTCTTCAAAAACTACTACTTTACAAGTAGTATTATTCACTCCTACATGAGCAGATATGATGCATATCTCAAATAGCTTATTGCTAAAATGGCTACTCATCACTCTCGTGTTTTTTACTACCAAGTAGAGAGCAAGAACTAACAAATAGATTTTCATCTTCCTCTTAGGTTCTGTGCACCTCATTAATCATTTTAACTTATAGTTAAGCTAACTAATTTGCAATTTAGTAACATTTTAGCTTTTAGCTAAATTGTACATTATAGCTAACTAGCTTGATTTAGCTTATCTCAGTGTACTTGCTTACTGTATTCATAACATTTTCCATTAAGCACTTTAAAGTTGTCGGAAAATCTTATCTTATTCAGCCCATTCACAGCTATACATGTCTTTAAACACTAGTATAGATCTTTTTCCCTTGACTATCGGGAGAATTGACATAGCTAGACTAGTCAATTTTTATCTGTTGTATTAAATACACAAACCAGTTATGAACTCATACAAAATCAATAATATCACACATTAAATCAACTATATTGTAAAATTAAATTACTATGCACATTAAGTAATTCAACTACATAGTTCAATATTATAATCTCAATTAAAAGTAAGCACTTATATAAATAATATTGAACTCACATAAATAATATTATACCACATGATTAATTATATCACATAACTAATCTAAGAAATAATAATATTCAGGAGAAGACTTTGTTTTCTCAAAACTTTGTGCCTCATTCTCCAATAAACATGCTAGAAAATTAGGACTAAAAGATGTAGACGTTTTAGCCCACAAGAAAATGATATGCACTGATGTTATAAGCATAACCTATCAAAGGTTTTATGTAACGATCCACTCCACCACATAGTATGATATTGTCTGCTTTGGGCCCGAGCCCGTATGGTTTTGTTTTTGGATTTTATCCCAGAAGGCCTCATATCAATTGGAGATAACTCTACCACATAAAAGCACTTCACATTTCCCTTACGTAGGTGGTGTGGGACTGTGCACCTGTAGCTTGCTCAGTGTGGTAGTATGTCAGTGCCTCTTGCATTCGCTCACAGCACACCCACTCACAAGGTCGCCACATTATAGGTCCCACTTTAACTTTCTTAGGAGTAGGAACTACAACCTTAGTTAGACACCCCCACACTTCTAGAATTTATAGGAAGGTTTTTCGACCTTTCCATAATTCATATGATATCACATTAGTTTTTTTTGAGGTATTTTATTGATAACATAATTTGCAGAAAGCAAAACTTCTTCCCACAAATTCTGAGTAAAACTAGAACTTGTCAACATAGCATTCATCATTTCTTCGTGAATGATACCATGCTCTGAATAAATATTAGCAAATGATGATTCGCATTCACGAACTCTATCATTTCTTAACACCTCAACCTCATTTGTGTAATGTAATGTTTAAACATTTCTAAGGCTTTATCTTTGCTTCGTAACAGATATAAATAACATCATCTTGTGCAATCATTGATAAAAAGAATTAAATACCTTTTTTTATCTCTAGTTGGCACAAATTTAAGATAATATAATATACTACATAATATTATATTACAAAATTAAAATAATTCAACCAATATTGAATTATATAAATAATTCAATAATTTACTAATATAAGATGCTTTAATTTCACATTATATTGAACACATCAATATTTAACATATTATCAAATAATAATGTATATAACATTATTTTATTATATCTCATTTATTAGTATAATCTCTACTTGTTTATATCTTAAATAAAAACATATAATAAAACATACGCAATGAGCGAGTCTGTCTTAAGATTGTTGGTAAATATATGCTTCATGTAACATTTAAGATATAACTAACCCTACACTAATATGCCATAAGATATTTGTAATAGGCTAAAAATAATAATTAATTAAATATTCAACTAGATATTTAACTAAACATGCAAATTAAAATAATAAAATAATAATATAAAATAAAGAACCTAGACTGAGGCTAGTATTGAATATTATGTCCTTAAGCCAGATTCGCCTCGCTATGGTGCTAACGGACTCAGTGGCGTCTATCTCCCAGGATACAACGGTTTATATCCACCAGTAGTAGCACTACAAACTCGTGGATACGGTAAACCTCCTCCGTGTAATACTCTTTCTGACTCAAAAATGCATCTATACTATATAATATTGGGTGCAATCCGAACCAAATGGCTCGGACCAAATTTAATATGGCTCAATGAAATTGGTTTTGGGCCTAAGTGGCTTAGACCACTTGACCCTGGCTTGAATCCACACCCACTTGGGTTGGGTTCATCTTGAGAGAGTGAGAGAATAATTAATTATACGTGAAATTAATGCAGCCCATAGAAGTATTTATAGACAAGTGGTGTCTATTGGGACTGGATGCATCACTTTACCATCCATTGCAACATTTCAGATCAAATGCAATTCATCGTTATTATGGAAATATCTGAAACATGGTGTCTGTTCGTCACGAGACAAAACAACCAGATGCATTAATGGTTCAAAGGGTTGTGTTGGATTAACGTACTACTGTCACACCTCTTCACAATCCCTTATCGCACCTTATAAGTGCAATGCATCCCTAAACTTTCTAACCCATCCTTAATCACGTTGAATTACGTATCAAGAATTCGTTAAATTTTCCAATCGCCACCAACAGTCACAATAAAAGCATTGTGACTATCCTTCATAGGTTTATCCTACAACTGCCATGTTTTAGACTTTGGTAAAATCATGTTGCAACAACACATACACAACGTTCTATTCTACATATACACAACATTGTATTCTATATATAGGCAAGTTTCATTCACACGTTAAAACACTAGTTTACACAACTAGTTTCCAACACTTCCTACAACCCGGAAGGAAACCATTTAATAGTAGCTAGATATTGAAAGGATCAGGAAGAGGTATACTCCCAATTAAGGCTAAATGCTTCGAAGATCTAGGTAAAGAAATAAGCCAATTCCAGTATACCTTCTAAGAATATTGATAAAACCACAGTCATGAATCACTCTCATCCCCATAAGATTGATGTATTATCAAACCAAATAAAAGCATGACTACCCACTTCTAGCATTCTGATTTGCAGAAGCTTCCTCCACACCATTAAACAAAAGATTAATGTTACAGAAATAATTAATGAAGTTTTGTGAATAACTGATATGATGGAGATTTATGTTGCCCAATATATTGTAAAAGGCAATGCAAATATATATATATATATATATATATATATATATTGATTTCTTTCCAGCTGATTCATACTGGTCTTGCATAAATTTGGCAATTGGAATCAACTCCAGTAAGCACATCTCGAATGCTACATTGTTCAATACTCAATTCTCTGTTTCTAAATTTTCTTTCTTTCTCATTGGGCCAATTTATTCATTTCCAGATATCAATTTAACATTAATGAAAGTCCCATTTTGAAGAAAAGACACCTTCTGGAGCCAGAGGATATGTTCAATTTGAAAAGGAAGATGTTTTCTTTATTCTTGATAGCATCTGCAATTAGTCCATACAATAAGCCTTTTCATTTTCAAGTATGATGGTGACTTTTTTCACATGCCCTATAAAATCCTAGAAAGGTTGAATTTTATTTTATTTTATTTTTTTCTGAACTAATTCCAATTTATCAAGGAGATATTGCTCTCAGAAAAACATCTGTTTACTATGATCTAATTAATATTCTCTCCCTTTTAATCATATGATCTAATGAGAAAGCATTACAAAAGTGGTCACTATGCATTCACCCAAAAATGTAAGATGTAGTCAAAATTGAAGAGAAAATTGCTTATTGAAGTTCTTCAACAATTACAGATTACATGATTTGAGTGCCATACCACAGCTACCTAGTACAATGATCGACTCAAACGTCCGAAAATAGTCAAAATGGTGCAAATTTGTTTGCAATGGATAGGTTGATTCTGTCCAAAAATGACTTAAAACTAAAGAGGGAAGTAATTGCTCCACCTATGAAACATGTCATAGCATACTTTGCGGTTCCATTCATGTGGCGAATGACCAGCTCCCTACACAACCCGAAAAGATTATACTCAGTTCTGAATTGTATATCATGGAGAAGTGATTCAAGGAATCGAAATTTATCATTGATGGAGATAAATGTACCCGAAAAGATTTTACTTTGCGGTTACAATCTAACGTTACAGATTACCGAGACAGATACACTGATGCATATGCATGAATGGAACTTGAAATTAGTAGAAATTGCATATGCATGAATCGAAATTTACCCAAAAAGATTATACTTTGCGGTTACCAATCTAAGGTTACAGATTACCGAGACAGATACACTGATGCATATGCATGAATGGAACTTGAAAGTAGTAGAAATTGGGGAGTTCAAAGGTCAGGTATTAAATAGATTCACACTTAATTTGTTGGTTAGTGAACACTTTTAGCAGTATAAAAAGGGTAGACACCTTTGAAAGTTGGAAGCAGCACATTAGCAGAAGAAGTTGAAGTACTCTTCAGTTGGCAAGATCTTTGGTTTTAAAATGTGGTTCACCGTTCTCCATATTGTATTTGTTCTTGTTGGTGCTTTCATCAACATAGCTGGAATGTTTCTTTAGCAGAAGGAAGTGAAGGTGGACTCCAAAGGATGGAATTGATGGCCAAAACGGAGTGCTTTTTTGAATTTTGAGGGTTATTTATGTGAATTATGTTTTTGGCTTCATCTTTTTTTGCGTGTGATTATGGATAATATGATGTCCTCTTTCTTTAGTCATTGTTTGTTTTGTACCTATGTTGGTGCCTGAATATTCTAAAAAATGAATGACAAACCAACGGCCAGTGGGCTAGCGGTATCAGTTTCTTACTTTCCAAAGAGAGGTCAGGGGTTCAAGTCTCGGAAGAGACATGTGTGTGTGAGTACTAATTAGAAAAAAAATAAAAATAAAAAATGAATGACAATTAGAAGTTTCTGAATCATTTCATTAGCATCTTTATTATGGTATTACATAATCATTACGACCCTCCTGAGGCTGCTCAGTGGTAGAGTTTTGTGCACTGAGCTAACCCTTTTGTCATCCTTTTTAGTTTTTTACTATATTAGACTATGATTAAACACTTATTAATATCAGAAAACAAATTTTCAATTGTACTGTCTCAATTAAGAGAGTAAATGAAATAAAAGCCTTAGTAGAGGCCTGCAGCGAAATATGCAATTCATGGAAAAAATGTCCAGCTTAATAATATATATCAGAGAAACTGAATGCAACTGCTGAACTAAAGCAATTGTATGCATCAAGCAGAGGAGTATGTATTTCTTGCCTTTATAGTCGCGTATGTGAAGCGATATCCATCATTAGTGTACTTCCTTGTGTATCTGCACGAACAATGTAGTAGAGTACTCACTACGATGTTGAATTGAAATTTTTGTCGAGAACAGTTAAAAAAACCAAATTTAATCACAGATGATATGTGGATCAAAAATTTTAAACTTACCCTGCTACTTGACCTTGAACAAACCACGGTCGCCAATCGCTGTCAATAGTCAAATCCAGAGACTTCACCCACCCTTCAATGGCTACATGTGGAATAACCATATCATGATCACCACTGTGGGAAGTGAAAATTTTCATTAGCTAATGAGAATGGCCACAGTAAATGTTTTTAGCTCTGGTAAATGAATGGTTCTGTCAAGTACAATAGTGTGGTAAAAATATGTTAGAAACCTCAATATTTACCTAAAAGCCAGAATTTGCAAGCCAGTGTTTGTGAGATTTAGATGATAGGGAACAACATCATTGACATCCACCGAGTACGATAAGCTGACATTGCACCGAAACCATTCTTTCGTTGTGTTCTAATTGCCATCAAGAAAAGATTAATTCAGTGTTTATTGAATATGTTTATCACCATATATAACTACTCAAAAAATTGAAGTTCACTTACTGGTCTAACATGAAGAGCCTCTTGGACAGATTTAAAATTTGCCCATATGTCAGAAAGCAGATACTCAAAATTCTGCCCCAAAAAAAAAATAAATAAATAAAACCGGAAAATTTAAACAATTGCATCAAAATGCACATATGTAAATATATAGAGAGATAGAGAGGGGTTTACATGGCATTCAAGATCAGGAGACTTGAATGAAGAAAGGAGGGAATTTCTTGAATTCTCTACGAGAGATCTTCGATCCTTTTCTTCGTTTGCATTCGGAGATAGGAAAGCACACTCGGGTGACAAAATATTCTGAGGACTTATATCTTGAATGCACTGCAAATTCAAATGATCACTCTAACTGGTGTCCTAAAAGCTTTTTTCTAAAAAATATGTGTAACTTAAAAAAAAAAAAAAATACAGAATGATGGTTCATCTCACCAGTTCGATAGCTTCAATTGCCTCAAGACACGCTGCGTTTGAAGAATCTACATCAGCGTAACTCCCATTGCAGCTCGTTTTGGCTGTCTGAAAATTCACAAATCATTTTGTCATCTAATATAACATTTTTTTTGTTTTGTAACGACAGCAATGACTTTTAGTACTAGAGAAGCATTGTTTCACCTCATAGAGTGCATCAGATATAAGTGCCATCCGATGAGCATACACGATCTTCGAATCTGTTTCAACATCAGTAGCTGTGTGTGCACAGCTAAGAATGTATCCCTGGTACCAATTTAAGCAACATTAAATTGATGCAACACTGACACATATAACAAATCAAAGGATGTCATATACATCCTGTATTTTGATATTTGATTTACTTACTCTGATATTAATTCGAGGCTCAACTCCAGCTTCATTCTCTGCGCGGCCAACATCAACCAAGAACTTAATCAGAATTAACAATAAACAATTTTTTTTTACAGTAAACAAGGCTTTAGTTGAATATAAACACTAGTTTTCATGATCATAAATTACCATTTATTATTGCTTGAGCAATCAAGGGAACAAGTATGCCTGCATACGAATCGCTATTAATAAAAAATGGATTTCCCCCGAATTTTGGGTGCTCATTTAACCACTGTCACAACCACAATTCAAAATGTTAGTAACTGATCCCAAAAACATAGATCATTTTTTATTTAAATGGAAGAACTTAAGCTATCCGTTGGTTGTTCGGACTTGAATTTCCACAAACAGTTGGATGTCGATCATATAATTAAATTTCTATACCTTAAAATAAGACTATGATAATCAATTGTTATACAAGAACAAGATCAAATTAATTATTGCGTTTGCCATATAAAAATGTAGTGACCAAACAGTTGGGAATTGTAAATGTGTCTCATTTCACTCACATTTCTCATAAAATTGACCATATCTGCTGATGTTAATGTGTCTGAAGAAGCATAAGCTTCAGCATTTGTTGCGTAGGAGAAACCAGTGCCAATTGGCGCGTCTATAAATATAATATTGGCACTCTGAAAATTCATCAAAACCATTTGTTAACAAGGCATAACGTGATTAATCATCTAACATAGAAATATTGATGAAACAGAGTTCAAATTATAAAAAATTTTGTACCTTGGTCCATGAATATGGGGTGTATAACAATTCTGGTATGCCCCCAGTGTATGTAAGGTTGAATTCCAATGGTCCTATAAAAAATAAATAGAAAATTAAAAAATCAAGGCCATTAATTTATGATAAGTAAAATAGATTTTCTTTCACCTGACTCACCTACAATACTAGGTCATTTATGCATAAAAAATTAAACTTGTCAAAGTTGTTTTTAGGTCTCCTAGCCATATATGATTATTAGATTCCATGAGCAGCTAACAAAAAAATTTAAAAAAAAAAAAAAATTAATAATAATAATAATAATACAACTAAGAGTCAAACCTTAACTTATAGTTCATTAATTCAACTCAAAATCAAACTCATATTGGTTTAAGTATGTTAGATGTAAGAATGTAACCACGCTTCTGATTTCTACAGACTGGAGGACAGCAACAAACTATAATAATATTATCCGTACCCATGTAGTACCCAATAATTTCTCACTCCAACGGTCGTATGGACTTATATTTCATTCTATTTGTACATAAATTAATTATTTATATTCAAAACTCGCATTCCTCACATTCATAAGGACAATATAAAACTTGGTAGAACATTCACTACCAAGTTTGCTCCTTTTAACAATACCTATAATCTGAACTCTTTGGAATGGATTTATATATATAAATCTAACAAGTTTGCATTGGATATCATGAAATTCACACCTTAATATTGAAAAAAATACCTTAAACAATATATTAATTGCATTCTATATTTTTTTATTTTTCAGGAAAAAGAAAACACAGAGAGAGAGAGACATACCAACTTGGAAGAGAAGGCCATTCAAGCCAGAACAACCAGGACCTCCATTGAGATAGAGTATAAGAGGGTCTGTTGGTGAATACCCTGATGACGACTCCACAAAATAGTAGAAGAACTCGATTTCACCAACACTCACATACCTATACATTAATACCACCCAAAAAAAAAAAAAAAAAATCAATAGATTTTCTTATAGGTAATGATGGTGACGTGTCTAATGTTTAAATTCATATTCACACACTGATGAATGTACTCGAGTTCAGGTAACATATGTTCCGTTAGAACTTAGTCGAGGAGATACCACTTATCATGATCAGTGAGGGAAGTTGCCCTATAAAAAATTTAAAAAATTTGCATTATATACCCTATAAATTTTATGAAATTTTGAAAATGCCTCCACAAAAATTATGAAAAAACACCAATGGCGCCCCCTCCTATCAACAAAATTTCTGGGTCCGTTACTGCCACTTGCATTAAATCCTTTTGCTTCATTAACAGAAGAAGAAAATGCAAATTAATGGAGAATAAAGCGAAATTAACAGAGTTGAGTAAAAAACACTCACCCAGTTTCAAGTGTGAATGGTAAATCCCCAGAAAAGCCTGGTAGAGTCTTGACAATCCAGTTAGAGACTGCATTTCTTGAGAGGGAAAATAGAATCAGCAATTGCATACAAAGTATGCATTTCCTAGAAATTGAAGTCATTGTTGTGCTGTTGTTGGGAGTGCACACTACTCTGTAAGATATATTCCTCAAATGAAAGTTCCAAACTTTATTTTCTTTTTCCCTTTTTTTATTTCAACTATATTTTCTCCACTTAATTGTCAAACCATATAAATTAGCATTGGTTGAATGGATGTTATATATATATATATATATATATATATATATATATATATTGAATGTCTTTGGTGGTTGATGTTAATGTGTGGGTAGGTCTAAATATGTTGTGAGGACTGTATGGTAGAGTACACCAGAAAGTCGTGAACATTAAAAACAAATAAGCCATGGGTAAAATGTGTCCAATTGGAAAGTCAAACATGCTTCATCATGAATCTAGGATTGCAGCCCAAAAATAACCTAAATTTAGTTGAATTAGAGTTTGATTTAAATTGGGTTCAAATATATTCCCATTAGGCCTGATTAATCAATTTAAAGCCCGAAGTTAGATCCAATTAACAAGCAATTAAAGGCCCGGTTATCGCCCACTATCCAGCCTGTGGGCCAGAGTTCAAAATGGAGTTTGGGCTGGCCCAGCTTACTCCAAACTCTATACCGGCCTAAATGTCTAATTCAGTGTCTTTTTCCAGAACAGTGACGTGGGCAGTTTATTACTACGAGTATAACACAATTTGTATGAAAAGAAATAAAAGGATATATACTCAAACAATTTCATGTTGCGAAAATTAACTGAAAATGAAAATAAGAACATAGATTTGAGTGGTTCTTTCAAATTTTGGACGCAATTCTGGTGTCACATCATACTTTAGCACTTTTATTTATTTGCTTAGTTTGTTTGATTTAGTTTTTATTTGGTTAAGGAGCAAGTATAACATGTTCTGATTCTGATTTTGAAGGATAAATTGACTTTAAAAAGGCAATATCATGATATGTATTTATTTTTTTATTTTTGCAGGAGGAGCTATCTCGTGGAGAAGCTTAAAACAAAAATTAATCACTTCCTCAATTATGAAGGCGGAGTACATAGCATGTCATGAGGCTACAAAACATGTGGGTAAAGAATTTTATCACAGATCTTAAAGTTGTGACACAGCTTACAGTATTTTCATTGGTTCTTGTCTCATCGTGTGGAGCTCTAAAAAGTAACCATAGTCTCTCAGTCCTCCACTGAGGCCAAATATCTTGATCTATCAACTAGTATTGTGGACCTATGTTGGCTTCAATCTCTATTTTATGAACTAGGTATTTTGTGACAATATCAGTGCGAGTGACGACGAGCGGACTTTTAATTTGTGGGAGCAAATTTATATAGTTGGTTCTTTTTTTAATTTCAGTGAGGTCATCTTCATAAATTCTTAAAAAATTGAAGTTAAAAAAAAAAAAAAAAAAATCCAATGGGTTGAATTGTAATTTTAGTGGGGGCACCTTCATAAATTCCCAAATATTTGAAGTATAAAATGAAAAAAAAAAAACAAAAAAAGAATTTCAGTGGGGGCAAATTGTAATTTTAGTTGGGGCATATTCATAAGTTCCTAAATATTTGAAATATAAAATGCAAAAATAAAATATTCTTGGTCTTATTGTAGATCCGTGCTTGATCAATGCCACATATCTTGTTACCAATCCGGTTCTCCATGATGTACCAAATACATATAAATTGATTATCTTTTTATTTAAGAACGTGTTCCTCGCGATGTCTTACAAGTGTTTTTTGTTCTTAGTTATGCTCAGTTGGTTGTCTCTCTCAGGGTTTTCTCGCTTGATTCGCTCAAACACATGCCAATTTCAAAGTTGGTAGCGCCACAATAATTGTGGAATGGTGTAAAGATATAATTCAACAACCTTAATTCTAGATTGGTTTGTGTAACTTGATTGTACTAATTATTATTCTTTTATATTGTATTCCAATATTATGTAAATCACTTCTATAAATACAAATAGAGGCAGCGTATTAAGTTTAATGCAAATTATACAGTATCAATTTACATTCCAGTATAACAATCTTAAACTATTGCAAAACAACCCTTAAACTATTGCAAAACAACCCTTAAAATTTTAAAAATTCTATCGTGTGTCTTTATCCATTTTGATGTGTATTTTTCAAGTTTTGACACATTTTATTGGGAGCTTTCTTGTACATTCTTATCTCTCTTTTTTTTTTTTTTACTCCCAATGCATTCTCCATTGTACTTGGATGGGCAGAAAGGTTGGACTTACTATTTCCAATATATTATTGGGTTTTTCTTTTTTCTTTTTTCCGCCCCTTTTCGAGTTTAAAATAAATTCAATTTCTAGATAATTTCTTTTGATTACTTTTGCTGATCATTTAGAAGAGCTGCAATTATAGACCCTTCTTTAATATTGGTATTGCCATTGTTCCTCATCAAACTATGTTTAGGAGTAGTGAATAAATTAGAATTGGTGAAAATTTAGTTCAAATCCATTCAGTGTTATCAAACACAACATTAGTATTTTTTTATTTATTTTCTTAAATATTAAATAAGTATGTAAATAAAAAAAAGGAGAAACAATATACATATATGTACTTGGATACCGAAAAGGCCATTAAAGCCCATTAGGCAAAAGTGTAACAAACTAAGGCACATCAAAACAACCTATTGAATGAGACAGTTAAGCCCAAAAAGTAACAGGCCCAACCAAATCAGGCCCAAAAAATTTTAAACATTCCAAATAACCTATGTAGCACAGATACAGACACGGGACACGGATATGATACAGATATGTTGACACGTCAAATTTTTAAAAAGTAGGATATGGATATGGCGTGGACACGACTACATATAAATATAATTTTTTTTTTTTTATATACATCTATTTAGTAATAATATTATAAAACTTTAATTCATTTATAATTTCTATATTAAAAATTGCTCTGAAATAAATTAGAAAATACAATTATGTTATTATTGTAATGATTTTTATATCATATGTACCAGTATTTCACTATTTGGTCATGATAGTATTCATAATAATTTCAAGATTAGCGGGTAGAATTGTATTAAAAATGTCTGAAAAGTGTCACGAAGTGTCGGCGAAGTCTCCGAAATAAAAAAATTAATTTTTATTTATGGACACATATATAAAGTGTTTGACACGTATCCGAGAAGTGTCCGAGAAGTGTTAGTGTCCGATGCAAGTACGATACGGGTATGGCTCCTTCGTAGAACTGTCTGTGATTCTTAGGGTCTAATCAACACTATGACAGTGGGAGAATCAAAACTATACATGTTAGTAAGTGTAATATGACATTTACATGTAATTTTTTTTTATTTTTCCGAGCAATTGTGGCCTGTACTCTAGCCATTCAACAAGTGGAATAAGTGAATAAAATATTTTTTTACATGTTCCTCCCTTAACTTCTCTTACAAAATTATTGACTTAATTGTTCTAATTTTTAAATTTATGGCGTCTGTGCTCCCACTCACAACAATTTGATTCAAACAAAAACTTCACTACTACAAAAATGCAAAGACGAATTCCATTGAACTAAGAAAGCCCCTCCATATATAGATGACATCAATTAGGACTGAAAAGTAGCAAAATATAAAACAACCAATATCAAATACCATATAAGCATACAAATTAACAACAACAACTTTGGAAAATATATTATATACTAGTAATGTCCAACAAAAGCTAATTATAGTGCATTAAACTTCCGAGACTGCAGGAAAAAATAAGTATATAATATATTTTCCAAAGTTGTAGTTGTTAATTTGTATGCTTACATGGTATTTGATATTGGTTGTTTTATATTTAGCTAATTATAGTGCATTAAACTTCCGAGACTTGCAGGAAAAAACAAGTTGTCAACCCTTCCACCAATCACAATATAACCAACTACACATCACACATGCAAGAGTGTCATAGTGTCAAGAGTTGTCGTTTGTATCACAAGTTTAGTAATTACTACTTTCGCCCCAAAATAAATGTGAGTCGCAATTTTTAAAATATTTGAGATGGAAGAAGTAATATTTTTGTCACCATATTCTTTGATGACCATTATCATAAGAGTAGTGTTTTCCGAGCTGCTACTCTGACTGAATCACTCACAAGAGTGCACCGCGGCGGCTCAAAACAAAGAAGCCGAAGGCGATGGAACAATTAATAAGCAGAAGATCTACTTGCATGCCACTATTTAAATTTCTGTTTTTTCATGACAAAGTTCTTATTCAATTACATGCCTCCATCACAACAATTTGATTCCAAGTTTGGGCTCTCGAAAACAAGGGCAGCGCAGACTACTTCGCTCTAGTCATTGCGGGATCATAAGAACAATTAAAACATACTTAGACTTTATTTCTACATATAGAGATATTGTTTTTCCTTTTAAACATGTGATGACTTTTTCATTGCAACTTACCAACTTTATTTTCTTTTGTATAATTGTTTTACTTAAGATAGATCAATTTTCTCTTCAATTTTTATATAAATCTTGCTTAAAATATAATAAAATAAAAAATTATGAATCAATATAAAGTTTTGTTCAAAAACATTCTTTTTATCTTATCATTTTTCAACTTGATTCTGTCTCAATCATTGCAAAACACCTGTGCTGACTGTAAATAAATGTGACTAAAATGATAAGGAGTTCAATAGTCATAAATGGATAACATAATGATAATGTCGGCCAACTTTGCAAAATAAACAATATCAAGACAAAAATGAGCATACAAACTGCTATTTTATATATGGAAAACGTGCAAAAGGTGAGTACAATGCATAGAACTTCCGTATCCGTGCAAAAGCATGAATTTTAAACCTCCAGTCAGACCAAAACCAAACCAGTTCATTAAACAAAATCACCAAAGAGTTTGTCGCTAATATCACTACTACTTCGACAACCTAAAACAGCAAATAGTTCAATATATAGCATATGTGACACCCCACTATTCAAACTTTCCAGGAACCCTAGCAACAGCTTTGCAAACCAACGGTGCTTCATCTCCATGGAGAGTTTGAGGCAGTCAGACAAGTCCACACCATTATCAGAAGCAACCCATTTCAAGTTCTGAAGCAACTGGGCTAACCAAAGCTGAACAGTTGCTAGCCCCATGGCTTTACC